TGATGTACCTAAATTCAAACTTAATTTTCACATATAAAGACATTGCCTTTACTAGCAAATACGGATGTAATATTCTCCATTAGGGATTGGAGAATATGAATGGTGCACACCGTTAAAATCCCTAGCAAATGTTTTGTACTTAACAATGACACAAAACATAATAAAAAGCTTGCATTAAAACAGTCAACCTCCAAGAGTTGGGTTGGTCCACTTGCTTTGAGTGTGGTAACACTGTTTGAGTTGTTTGTGTAGTTGTAACACAAGCAAGGCTGGTATTTTTTGCTACATTGCATGATATACCAACACTAGTAGAACCCATTTTTTGACATGTAAAAGCCCTTGTTACTTCCACAGGGCCCTTCCTGGCTGTACTGGGTTCCTGTTGTGCAAGAGATCGAAGTAGGGAGAGAGTTTTACAACAGCTGAGGATCTAACTTATGGGACTAAAAATATTTCTTGCACAATGGCCCTTTATTAGTTTTTCAACTGTGTTAAACTATGATTTACATTTTTACAATTTCTCCTTTCTAATAACATTGTATCAGTAATTTTAATTATAATATTTAAAATCCAAGAAAGTCAATTGTTTGTGAACATAGATAAGCTATTATCTAACAAGGCTTTTTTTACATAGTAACTCGGAATTGCTTTTAATTGACTGATTTTCAGAGTTTTTACAAAATATCAGATAATCAAATGAGATAATTGTTCTAGTCAGCAATTAGTGAGATAGAGTGACTTAATGATGTTTGTTACTTGCTCATCAATACCCTCTGGGGTAAATCACATTCATTACTTCCATAGTACACACAACCTGCAATCTCCCCCATGCTGTGTTGAAAACTATAAAATGGGCATTGCATCTGGGAACTTTAGCTACAGAACAAACTTATTAAATATTGAGAATATTTTGCAATGACATGAATCTGAAATTTACATCCAGATTCAATTAAATTGAGATTGCATTTTTGGTTACATTTTTGGATTAACCATTGAAATCAGATAATCACTTTATTCAAGCCACATTGTTCTGTAAGGAGTGTTCTGGAAATAATATATTGTTTGCTTCCTCTTATCATACAAGCCAACAAACAAGGAACATTCCATTTAGGCAATTTGTGTGACTTCATCGCAATTGTTCCGAAATAGAAAATTCTATCACTCAATCAAAGGTCATATCAAACTAACCTAATTTCAATCGACGATGAAGTAAGTAGAAGTATAGATCTGGGTGTTGCAGTGGATGTGATCTACTTGGATTTTGCCAAAGGCATTTGATACGGTTCCTCACAAAAGGTTAGTGTTCAAACTAAAAGAAATTGGTTTAGATGAATATTCTTGTTCTTGGGTAGAACATTGGCATAAGGATAGAGTACAGTGTGTTGTTGTTAATAGTACATTTTCAAGCTGGACAAAAGTGGTAAGTGATGCCCCTAAGGGTTCTGTTTTTGGACCGCTTCTATTTAAGATATTTATAAATGATCTTGAAATAGGCATCGAAAGGCATGTTTTAGTGTTTGCAAAACTTTGTTAAGTAATACAAGGTGAGCAGGATATTACTTTGATGCAGAGGGATTTAGATAGATTGGGGGACTGGGCACTCAAATGTCAGATTAATTTAATGTAGAGAAATGCAAAGTTATACACTTTGGGGTCAAGAATACACAGGTAACCTACACCCTAAATGGTAGTGAATTGGGGATAACAACACAGGAGAAGAATTTGGGAATTGTTATAGACAAAAAATTAGGCAGCAATATGCAATGTCAATCGGCAGTTGCTAAGGCTAGTAAGGTTTTGTCATGTATGTTTAGGGGCATAAATTCTCGGGATTAAAATATAATATTCCCTCTTTATAAATCGCTGGTAAGGCTACACATTTTGAATATGCTGTGTAATTTTGGGCACATGTTCTAAAGAAGGATATCATTGCACTAGAAAAAATGCAGAGACAGGCTGCAAAATTGATAAAAGGAATAAAGGAATGGAGCAGTTATAAGGTTACAAAGTTACAAAGGTTACAAAATTAAAATCTCTTTAGTTTAAAAAGGGCACCTCAGAGGGGATATGATAACATTATACAATTATCTGGTAATCTATTCATAAACAGGGCTAAACATAGGACACAGAGTCACACATTTAGACTGGAAGAAAGGAGATTTAATCTAAGGCAAAGAAAAGTTTTTTTACTATAATAACTATAAGAATATGGAATTCTCTGCTTGAAGAGGTGGTTTTATCAGAGTCCATACAGATGTTTAAACTGCAATTGGATAAATACTTGCAAAAACATTATATACGGGGATATACTTTCTAATTTATGGGTTGATTGCTGTTAAATCCAAGGAGATATCTGACTACCATTTTGGGGTCAAGAAGGATGTTTTTCCTAGTAGTTGCAAAATTGGAAGCACTTATTATTGCAATCTACTGAAGGCAACAGAAAATTGCATTAGGCTTGTCAGTAAAAACAAAACATTTAAGAAACCACTGTGGTACTCCGCAGATGTGGCCAAAATAGTAAAAAACAAAACATTAGCATTTAGTAATTATAAAAAAATCCAGAGTGAGAAAGACAGACAGATCTATAAGACTAACCAGAAAGAGGCTAAGCAAGTTATAAGAGCTTTCAAAGCACACACAGAAGAGAAAATAGCACAGTCAGTAAAAAAGGGGATAACATATTTTTTTGATACATAAATGAGACAAGGAAAGTAAAACAAGGATTAGTAAAATTTAAAAAAAAAGAAGGAAGGTATGTAGAAGAGGATAAAGGTTCTAGCTGATTGCCTCAATGAATATTTTTGTTCAGTATTTACAGATGAAAATAAATGAAAGGGACTTCAGTTTAGAAAAAGGACAAATGGGTCATTTGTTACATGTGGGTTTACAGAGGAAGAGGTTTAATTTCAACTGTCAAAAGTAAAGACAAATAAGTCTATGGGGCCTGATGTGATACACCCAAAGTTATTAAAATAACTTAGTGGTGTACTAGCAAAACCATTAACAAATTTATTTTACCAGTCATTGTTAACAGGAGTAGTCCCAGAAGATTGGAAATTAGCAAATGTTATACCCATTCACAAGAAAGGTAGAAGGGAGGAGTTGGGCAACTATAGGCCAGTGAGTCTTACTTCAGTAGTGGGGAAAGTGATGGAAACCATGTTAAAGCAAAGGATTGTTGAACATCTAAAATTACATAGATTTCAAGATCAGAGACAACATGGGTTTACTTCAGGGAGATTATGCTAAACTAATCTTATTGATTTTTTTTGATTGGGTAACTAAAATAATAGATCGGGTGGTGCAGTAGACATAACCTACCTAGATTTCAGTATGGATTTTGACACTGTTCCACATAGAAGGCTCATCAATAAACTGCAATCTTTAAGTTTGGATTCCAATATTGTTGAATGGGTTAGGCAGTGGCTACAGAGGCAACAGAGGGTTGTTGTCAACGGAGTATATTCGAAGCAAGGTCTAGTTACCAGTGGGTTACCTCAGGAATCTGTACTTGGACCCATTCTCTTTAATAATTTTATTAGTGATATTGCAGAAGGTCTTGATGGTAAGGTATGTTTTTTTGCTGATGATACTAAGATATGTAACAGGGTTGATGTTCCAGGAGGGATAAGCCAAATGGCAAATGATTTAGGTAAACTAGAGAAATGGTCAGAGCTGTGGCAGCTCACGTTTAATGTGGAGAAGTGCAAGATAATGCACCTTGAATGTAAAAACCCAAGGGCAGGGTATAGGATATTTGATACCCTACTAACCTCAACATCTGAGGAAAGGGATATTGGAGTAATTATTTCTGATGACGTAAAGGTAGGAAGACAATGTAATAGAGCAGCTGGAAATGCTAGCAGAATGTTTGGTTATATAGGGAGAGATATTAGCAGGCTGTCAGAGTGAGCACATGTGCTGCAGGGACTTACCATCCGCCTCCCAGTGCATCCGGGTTCTGTGTGAATTGCAGGGAGATGCATCAGCATTGATCTTCTCCCTGTGTAAAAAAAAAGTAAGTTTAATTAAAATCCTACCCCACTTTACCCATTTCAAATAAAAATTAACACCTTCCCTGCCAATTGATCACTGACTACAGTGATCAGTTGGCAGGGATTATATTTTACTGTCATCTGATTATTATTTTTTTAACCCTTGAGGGTTAAGGTTTTTTTTGTTTTTAACCCTCAAGGGTTCAATTTATTTAATTCATTAATTAATTTAAATATTTTATAATTATGTATTTTGCTAGCTGGGGTGGGTGGGGGTTATGGGAAAGTGGGGAATTTACTGTTTGTGCTGCTTAATGCTAGTTAGGGGTTAAAGGTTAAAAAAAAGCTTATAAAAATGTTAAATCTGTAAAAAAAGCTTTAAGAAAGTTTAGGAAAGTTTAAAAAAATATATAAGCAAAAAAAAGTTTAAAAACTAGTTTTAAAAAGTTTAAAAGTTTAAAAAAGGAAAAAAATACATTTAAAAACGCTCATTACCACTACACCTGGAACAAACTAGAGAAAAAATGATCCCACGCTGTGGTTCAAAATACACCTTTTGAATTACCCCAGGGTGTATTCTTTAATAAAATGTATGTGTTTGTGGGAAAGTTTCAAGAACCAACCATCTAAACTACTCAAAAATGGAAATGGACACAGTGTAAAACTTCAAAGTAAGAAAAAAACTGAATGGCTGCGTCTAAGATGTGCCCCTTTAACATCCACATACACCTGGCAAAGGTACATATGGGGCTATTGATGTACTCAGATGATTTAGCTGAGCAACATATGTAGTATTATACAGTCGTAGCACACATAAGGTTTGCAAAATATACTGTGCAAACTCACTTTGTGTGTCAAAAAGGCAGAAAAAACACTTATTACCACTATACTTGGTACAAGCTAGCGGAAACATGATCCCACACTAAGGTTGAAAATATGTCTTTTGAAATACCCTGAGAGGTCTTCTTTAAGAAATGGTATGGCCTCTAGGTGCTGAAGATGCGATAAAGAGGAGGGATCATTTCTCCACATTTGGTGGAGTTGTTCAAACATTCAGACCTCTATTAAGAGACTGATAGGATTTATTAGAGATAATACTGGAATAGAATTAGAAAAGAAACCAGAGGTATTCTTGTTACACATGCATTGGCCGAATATGTCATATATAAATAGTTGTTTTATAATTCACTGTCTTATTGCATTTAAAATTGTTCTTGCACGAAACTGGAAATCTAATCAAATAGTTCACTGGGACGCTATTAAAGATCAAATCATCCTTCATATGAGGATGGAAAGAGACCTAAGTATACCGTATTTGAATTCCCCAAAAAGAAGGGATCTATGACAAAGATGGGTTAATAAAATAGAACCTACTATATAAATTAAACAGATACCTCTTGGTAATATCTGAAGAGTAAGAGTCCTGAGCTAAGACATATTCCTATACTAGCCCGATCCCGCAGATAATAGTGTAATTTGTTTGTTTATTGTGAATGTTTTGATTGTGTAATGATGTTATGTGACTTGTGGTGTTGTCCTGATATTTGTATTTATGTAAGAAATTGAATAAAAGAATTTATATGAAAAAAAAAAAGAAATGGTATGGCTTTATGGGGTATTTGGATTATATAGCCTGGTACAATACTCTAAAATGGGACATGGGCACAATGTAAAAATCTTAAGTTTGAAAAAAACTGGAATGGCTGTGTCCCAAATGTGCCTCTCCGATGTCCACATATACCTGGCTTAGGTACATACGGGGGTATTGCTGTACTCAGCCGACATAGCTGAACAACATATGAAGTATTATACAGTCATATCACACATAAGATTTTCAAAATATACTGTGCAAACTCACTTTGTGTGTCAAAAAGGCCAGAAAAACGCTTATTACCATTACACTTGGTACAAGCTAGCGGAAAAATTATCCCACGTTAAGATTCAAAGTATGCCTTTTGAAATACCCTGGGATGTCTTCTTGAATAAATGGTATGCCTTTATGGTGTAGTTGTAATATGCAGCCTGCTCAAGTGCTCCAAAGTGGGACACGGACGCATCAAAACCCTGCATGAAAATTCACACTTAAAAACCTGAACTTGTCATGTCTCTTTTACAGCACTGTAACTTCACAAAATAGTGTCCAGGTCATACTTTGGGCATATTGTTTTATTTAGAAGGTGTTACTGAGTATAATATGGGTATTTTTAGGACAGTGGTACATGTTAAGTGTAATAAATACTCAGCAAAAATGCAACATATATGTAAAAATGCAATTTTTTCCCCCCTTCACCACAAATATTGACATAACTTGGTGAAAAAATGGCGACAAGTTAAGGCATAATATACACCATATAAGATACCATGAGGTGTCTGCTTTATCAAATGAAAGCCATTTGTGCACATCTGATCTGCAACTACATGAAATGTTTGGTTGAAGTTATTGCTGCCAAAGGAGGTTCAACCAGTTATTAAATCCAAGGGTTCACATACTTTTTCCACCTGCACTGTGAATGTTTACATGGTGTGTTCAATAAAAACATGGCAACATTTCATTCTTTGTGTGTTATTAGTTTAAGCAGACTGTGATTGTCTATTGTTGTGACTTAGATTATGATCAGATCACATTTTATGACCAATTTGTGCAGAAATCCATATCATTCCAACGGGTTCACATACTTTTTCTTGCAACTGTATATTTAAAAACATTTCAAATATATCCTTGAAAATCAACCTGGTCTACTCACTAACAAATCCCATATTTTTTCTTTTTAAGGAAAACTACAATTAAATGCCCTCTGATGTTTTATGAAAATGTGTGAAGACAATCAGACTCAAGTAACATAATTTGTACTTTCTGGATTTGGAGGACATCACAACCTCAAAGTTCTACTCTTTGCTCTCTTCCTTCTAATCTTCATTGCAATAGTGAGTGGAAATCTGCTGATTATATTATTGGTGTCTACCAATGACCATCTTAATGTTCCAATGTTTTACTTCCTAAAGCATTTGGCCTTAAATGATATGTTACTTACCACCACCATTGTACCATTGATGCTCGATGTCCTAATAAAAGAAGAAAGGACAATATCAGTTGTTGGTTGTTTAGCTCAGCTCTATTTTTATGGACTTTCTGGTTTTGTGCAATGTTTTCTTCTTGCAGTAATGTCATATGACCGATTTCTTGCAATCCACAATCCTTTGAAATATACCTTAATAATGAGTCCTAATCTTTGCCTTCAACTGGTTATTGGATCCTGGCTGTTAAATCTTACTATGCTTTCAAGTGAATCAACTTTGATTTGGCAGTTAATGTATTGTGGGCGGCATTATATTAACCATTTCTTCTGCGACTTTGGTCCTATTGTAAAATTGTCTATTTCTGACATATCAGATTTGATGCTATTAGATGGTATATTCACTATCCCTCTTCTAGTTTTCCCATTTGCTTTTATAATAATCACCTATTTTTTAATTTTCCTTTCTATCATGAAAATGACATCAGTAGCTGGAAGAAGAAAGTTCTTTTCAACTTGCAGTTCCCACCTAATCTCCGTTTGTACTTACTATGTGACTTTAGTTATAATTTATATAGTTCCATCCGGGGAAGATTCTAGCAACATAAATAAATTCAGATCTTTGCTATACATTATAATGACTCCACTGATAAACCCCATCATATATAGCTTGAGGAACAAGGAAATTAGAGGAGCTCTAAAAAAAGTACTCATGCTAATTTCTCCACATCGACTATAATAATTCTACTCATAAAAAGTCATTAAGAATTGATCAGGCCGATATTACCAGCAATATTTCCTAATTAGTTGCATAAATAAATATTTATCTTCTGTGTAAGACACAGTGTACAAAGGTGTCCTGTTTGTCAGAAATTGTTAATAACATAACTTACTAAAAGTGGTATTAATTTGGCTCGGTAGTAAATGTTTAAAGTAGGATCTTTAGGTGAATATTTATTGCCTTTAATAGTAGAAACTCTTTAATCTTCATGTAACTCTTCCAAAATTATAATTAAGCTAATGATGTGTTAATATTAATTATTTATTTATTGGAACCTTTCAGTTCTGCTAAACACTGATCTGCATATTTTTGGAGTTTATATGGTATTTGTTTTGTTCTTTTTGATGCACATTATTAATAAATATTAATAAAGCTACTGTGATGGATGATATTTCATAAGATAGATGATAATGGATATATTGTTGAAGAATGATTTAGGAAGTGTATGTATGTACCTCCTAAATGTTTGCAGGGTTTTTACATACATGATTATATATTTTATATATATATAACGTGTTACATTTTCAAAGTACAATATACTTACAAAGTCTATGTTAAGTAGCAATATTTTAAGATATTATAACAGCAGTTTCTTGTTGGTAAGTACATTTTAGATAGCTGAACACTTAGTATGTTCATATTAGTTTCGTTGAGTTTCACATAACTTACACTTTTTTAATCATTGAAGTATATCCTTAGGCTGCTGGATAGACTTAAGTCCTCTGTGGGTGAAAGTGTATATTACAAGTTATAATGGCCTAGACAGATGTGTTTCTATCACGAGGCAACAAAGACATTTGCATTGGGTGGCACTTGCCAATGGGAAGGCAAAATGCCTTGTTTGCCTAGTGAGAGATACATATTTCAGCTTCAGATAAAAGTTGAAAGAAGAAGGAAAAAAAAACCCTGATCAAGCCGATGGCCCTTCTCACTTGCTGCTCTCTCTCTCTGCTTCCTGATTAATGTATGTTGCCATGGAGAGCAGAGAGCAAGCCTGTGGCAAACCTAGCCACTCGGACTATAACTGGACACTATGCCTTTAAGGGTTGCCGATAGGTCTGGAGAGATATGCGTTTAACCTGTATGTGTCTGCTTCATGTATTCCCTGCATTACCTGTAATTATCTGTTCCGCCGAATGCAAATGGCGGTTTGAATGGGGATTCCCTTTCGTTTCACGAACGGCACTTTGGAGGGCCGTTCGTGAACCGAACGCGATATCCCCTAATAGCCCACACACGTAGAGGCGTGTGGCGCTAGTTAACCGATTGCAACATTGTTGCAATCGGTTATTAGAGGCTCTCCTGGGTGGCCGTCGTTCGACTACCGACCATGCGGCGGTCGGCCATCTTGGATCCTTTGTTCCCTCAGCGGGGTTATGTCGTCGAGCGCCTGGTACTAAAAACGGCTACTCGACGGCACGAGCCCCGCTGAGCCTCCAGGGCGTTCGGGAGTTTCGGGACATTCGGTATTTTGTTCCCTTCAAGCAATCGGTTCTTTTCATATGTTTTATACGAATTGTGTTTTTCGTGCGGCGTTCGGTTATTTTAGCTGGGATCTGAGCGGTAATCTCACGAATGATGCGCTCAGACCCCAGCTATCTACCGAACGTCCATTCATGTAAATCCACTGTATATTCCCCAAGTTATGGATTTTTCTGTGAATTGTCGGTTCTGCTGCACGAGGGGATAATCCACTTAACGGTGCATTCTGGGAAGATGATCCCTCTCGTGCAGCGGTGCCTGATGGGAGAAATATGCTGTAATGTAAGTCCCCCATGTAGTCCCCTCTGGGAGTGCCCCTGGGGAGGGACTCAGGAAACCCCTTGCATGGGGACTTGTATAAATTGTCCTGCCGATTAAAAGGTTGTCAGTTGACTCCCAGCCTATGTGTCGTCTAGTTCTTGGGAAGGAAGGGTTACTGCAGTGCTGTCTGGATTATTGTATGCTGATTCCCTGGATTATCCTTTGTTGTTCCTGTTACCCAGCGGAGATATCGTGGATTATACTGCCTCTCCGCTACAAAGCCGACCTCCCACGAGAAGCAGCATGCACCCTTTAGAGCCTCCTTTCATTTTAGCCAGGCGGCACTTGCAGTGTGTGGAGGAGCTGTGGAGACATGCTGTCAGCATAGTGAAGCTCCGCTGAGCTGTGATAGGGAAAAACCGGGAAAAGCTGCAGCCTGTGTGTTTTGAACTCTGCAGAGTGGGTGAGTAATTTAAATTTAACATCTGAATGTCTTTTTTTATTTTAACAGCAATACATCCCCCATATATTTTTTTGGCACCAAACTTCTGTAATAAAAGGGAATCATGACATATTACACATGTCATGTGTCCTTAAGGGCTTAAAGAACAAATCCCTTATTCCCAAAACTTGTATTTTATAAGTCTTTTGTAGTAATGGAATTTTTTTTTTATTTATTATTATTATTAATTTTATTATTATATAATTATAATACAATTTAATTTATAATTATTATATAATTTATTTTATTATCTTTTTTTTAAAGAGTAAATTGACTGTCCTCAAAAGTCAGCATAGGTTCTCCCTGATTGCCCCTGATTGTTCTCCCCTGATTGCCCCCATAAGCACCCCCTGTCCTGAACAAATTTAGACATGCTATGTCGGTTGATTTTCACTAACGCTACGTTTGTTGATTTTTATTTATGCTATGTCTGTTGATTTTTACTGTAGTTATGTCTGTTGATTTTCATTGATGCTATGTCTGTTGATTTTCAATGACAATATGTATTTTGAGTTTTATTTAATCTATGTCTGTTCATTTTTATTGATGCTATGCCTGTTGATTTTCACTGACGCTATGTCTGTTGATTTTTATTGATGCTATGTCTGTTGATTTTTATTGATGCCATGTCTGTTGATTTTTACTAAAGCTATGTATGTTGATTTTCACTGACGCTATGTCTGTTGATTTTTATTGACGCTATGTCTGTTGATTTTCACTGACGCTATGTCTGTTGATTTTTATTGATGCTATATCTGTTGATTTTCACTGACGCTATGTCTGTTGATTTTTATTGACTCTATGTCTGTTGATTTTTTATTGATACCATGTTTGTTGATTTTTACTGAAGTTATGTCTGTTGATTTTCACTGTCGCTATGTCTATTGATATTTATTGATGCTATGTCTGCTGATTTTCACTGATGCTATGTCTGTTGATTTTTATTGATGCTATGTCTGTTGATTTTCAATGACGCTATGTGTTGATTTTTACTGAAGCTATGTCTGTTGATTTTTTATTGACTCTATGTCTGCTGATTTTTATTGACGCTAGGGCGGTTGATTTTTTTGAGGCTGTCTGTTGATTTTTACTGACGCTATGTCTGTTGATTTTTATTGATGCTATGTCTGTTGATTTTTACTGACGCTACGTCTGCTGATTTTTATTGATGCTATGTCTGTTGATTTTTATTGATGCTATGTCTGTTGATGATTTTTTACTGGTAGCTGCTTGTCTGCTGATTTTTTGTGGCCAGCTAGGCGGTTACGTTTTTAATACGGCTATATGCTGTTGATTTTTGATGCTATGTCTGGTACGATTTTCACTGATATTATGTCTGTTGATTTTTTATTGGCGCTATTTCTGTTGATTTTTCTACTGGCCCGTATGTCTGTTGATTTTTATTGGCTGTCTGTTGATTTTTATTGATGCTATGTCTGTTGATTTTTATTGATGCTATGTCTGTTGATTTTTACTGGCCTTCGTCTGCTGTTTTTATTGATGCTATGTCTGTTGATTTTTATTGATGCTATGTCTGTTGATTTTTACTGGCGCTATGTCTGCCTGATTTTTATTGGCGGCTAGGGCGTTTGATTTTTTTGACGCTATGTCTGTTGATTTTTACTGATGCTATGTCTGTTGATTTTCACTGATGATATGTCTGTTGATTTTTATTGACGCTATTTCTGTTGATTTTCACTGACGCTATGTCTGTTGATTTTTATTGACGCTATGTCTGTTGATTTTTATTGATGCTATGTCTGTTGATTTTTATTGATGCTATGTCTGTTGATTTTTACTGACGCTACGTCTGCTGATTTTTATTGATGCTATGTCTGTTGATTTTTATTGATGCTATGTCTGTTGATTTTTACTGACGCTATGTCTGCTGATTTTTATTGACGCTAGGGCGGTTGATTTTTTTGACGCTATGTCTGTTGATTTTTATTGATGCTATGTCTGTTGATTTTTATTGGCGCTATATCTGTTGATTTTCACTGATGCTATGTCTGTTGATTTTTATTGACGCTATGTCTGTTGATTTTTTATTGATGCCATATCTGTTGATTTTTACTGAAGCTATGTCTGTTGATTTTTACTGACGCTATATCTGTTGATTTTCACTGACGCTATGTCTGCTGATTTTTATTGATGCTAGGGCGGTTGATTTTACTGACGCTATGTCTGTTGATTTTATCTGATGCCATGTCTGTTGATTTTAATTGACGATATGTCTGTTGATTTTTATTGACACTATGGTGGTTAATTTTTATTGATGCTATGACAGTTGATTTTTAATGATGCTATGTCGGTTGATTTTTATTTATTGCTATGTCTGTTGATTTTCACTGACGCTATGTCTGTTGATTTTTATTGACGCTATTTCTGTTGATTTTCACTGATGCCATGTCTGTTGATTTTTATTGACGCTATGTCTGTTGATTTTTATTGATGCTATGTCTGTTGATTTTTACTGACGCTATGTCTGCTGATTTTTATTGATGCTAGGGTGGTTGATTTTTATTGATGCTATGTCTGTTGATTTTTACTGACGCTATGTCTGCTAATTTTTATTGACGCTAGGGCGGTTGATTTTTTTGACGCTATGTCTGTTGATTTTCACTGATGATATGTCTGTTGATTTTCACTGACGCTATGTCTATTGATTTTTATTGATGCTATGTCTGTTAATTTTTATTGGCGCTATATCTGTTGATTTTCACTGATGCTATGTCTGTTGATTTTTATTGACGCTATGTCTGTTGATTTTTATTAATGCTATGTCTGTTGATTTTTACTGATGCTATGTCTGCTGATTTTTATTGACGCTATGGCGGTTGATTTTTTTTGACGCTATGTCTGTTGATTTTTACTGATGCTATGTCTGTTGATTTTCATTGACGCTATATCTGTTGATTTTCATTGACGCTATGTCTGTTAATTTTTATTGACGCTATGGTGGTTGATTTTTATTGACGCTATGACAGTTGATTTTTAATGATGCTATGTCTGTTGATTTTCACTGACGCTATGTCTGTTTGTTTTCAATGACGCTATGTCTGCTGATTTTTATTGACGCTAGGGCGGTTGATTTTTTTGAGGCTGTCTGTTGATTTTTACTGACGCTATGTCTGTTGATTTTTATTGATGCTATGTCTGTTGATTTTTACTGACGCTACGTCTGCTGATTTTTATTGATGCTATGTCTGTTGATTTTTATTGATGCTATGTCTGTTGATTTTTACTGACGCTACGTCTGCTGATTTTTATTGATGCTATGTCTGTTGATTTTTATTGATGCTATGTCTGTTGATTTTTACTGACGCTATGTCTGCTGATTTTTATTGACGCTAGGGCGGTTGATTTTTTTGACGCTATGTCTGTTGATTTTTATTGATGCTATGTCTGTTGATTTTTTATTGATGCCATATCTGTTGATTTTTACTGAAGCTATGTCTGTTGATTTTTATAGATGCTATATCTGTTGATTTTCACTGACGCTCTGTCTGTTGATTTTTATTGACTCTATGTCTGTTGATTTTTTATTGATACCATGTCTGTTGATTTTTACTGAAGTTATGTCTGTTGATTTTCACTGACGCTAAGTCTGTTGATTTTTATTGACGCTATGTCTGTTGATTTTATCTGATGCTATGTCTGTTGATTTTTATTGACGATATGTCTGTTGATTTTTACTGATGATATGTCTGTTGATTTTTATTGACGCTATGGTGGTTCATTTTTATTGACGCTATGACAGTTGATTTTTAATGATGCTATGTCGGTTGATTTTTATTTATTGCTATGTCTGTCTGTCTGTTACTACATCTGTATGATGGCGGTATCATGCGGCCAATCAGAGGTGGATGGACGGAGAAACAAATGCAGGCTTAAAGGAACATAAGTGGCTTAATTGTCACAAATACGGAAGAAGCCCAATGTAAACACAATTGTCCATCAAAGATAAGTGCTATGCTAAATGGTTCACTAACATGGAGAGGTGAAGAATTGTAGATCGCTATCTTACTCAAAGTCAACAGATGCAAAAACAGACCACAGTGCCATCAATGTCATAAATCAAAGTATCAATACTGTAAACTCCAGGAGGTGTACTGAAGAGGCTAAGTAGGTGCCGACCAATGACGGCAAATAGATTATGACCCACAAAATATATTGGTGTATGAACGTATTCAAATGTAATTATCATGTAAAAGATATGGCATAAGCTAACTTAGCTTAACAGGGGATAGCCCCCCCCCAACCCCTAGAAAAAAAATACAGTGCTTAATTATATTAGGTGTATTTCCATGATGGTTGAGATTGGAAAAAAAACACTCATAACTCTTATATAATGCAATATAGTTGGTCATAGAATAGTATTGCCAGTAACATAGAAAATGGATCTAGCAAATGTTAGGGGTTATGGTTGTACTACAGTATAATGGCTCAAGGGTTTAACAATGGATTTAAAGACTGACAGTTAGTGAAGTTATAAACAATAAGAGTAAGTAGAGTTACATTATATGTACAATATTTACAGTATAGTGTTCCACAATTGATTCATAGTGGTTCAAAAATACACAACGGAAATATTAGACAAATGGCAGGAATGAAAAGCCCTCATTTAGTCTATACGAACACTTAATAATAATAATATATATGTGAGATAACATTAAGTGGTCTTGCTATGCAAGAACACTTAAATAATAATAATATATATGTGAGATAACATTAAGTGGTCTTGCTATAAGAACACTAATAATAATAATATATGTGAGATAACATTAAGTGGTCTTGCTATGCAAGAACACTTCTAATAATAATAATAATAATATATATGTGAGATAACATTAAGTGGTCTTGCTATGCAAGAACACTTAATAATATATATGTGAGATAACATTAAGTGGTCTTGCTATGCAAGAACACTTAATAATAATATATATGTGAGATAACCTTAAGTGGTCTTGCTATGCAAGAACACTTAATAATATATATGTGAGATAACATTAAGTGGTCTTGCTATGCAAGAACACTTAATTACATCTGAATGAAAGTGAAAACTGTTTTTTTTTTTCAGACTGTGTCATTCAGAGTCAGGGGAGGTGTGACAAGGGCTGCATAAACAGAAACTTAGTGATTTAACTCCTAAATGGCAGTGAACTGTTGTTTAGGTGACTATAGTGTTCCTATAAAGATTGTGTAAATCTTCTGTACTTAAAGCAAAACTCCAGACACCGAATGCAATTTAGCTTGCTAAACTTTATGTGTGAAGAGTATGCCCTTTTTTTTTTCCATTTTGCAAAAAGTGCAGATTTCAATATAAATTAACCTTGTTACACTCCCCCAGCTGACAGACAACAGGTCTTGTTATTTCCTGGTATTGTTACCTCACTGGAGCTACACTCGAGGCAGCAATTGCTCAGAGCACTCACTTCTCACTGAAGTGCATTGGGAAGTATGTGATTGAACAGCCACAAAAAGTCTGGACAGGGTTAGAATGAGAGTGCTTGCAAAGGTTTTAAACAGGAGGTCTGCAGGTTTTGCATGCTGGTTTTAGATACACCCCGAGTGACAAAAGCATAATTTAGGCAAGCATATTTTCATTGAGGCATACTGTGACGAGACCAATCTCGCCACATTGCATTGGAGAAGCCTGGTTGCCTGCCTGTTGCCTCTGGACTATGGCCCCATGTTAAAAAGCCTTCTATTCCCCTGCAGAAAAGGCTTGTTCATGCCTTTCTGCCCGGTGTTCGGTAGATTCAATCTACCGAACAAACAACCGATTGACTGGACCACCTGTATTGGGAGTGTTTTGGCAATTTACCTCCCAGAAGCTGCGGTTAACCGCAGCTTAATTGACAAATGCTGGGTGCCCTTTTTCATTTTCCGAACACGTGGCGGCGGCCATTTTAAAGTCCCGAGCGGCCAGCGGTGTTCAGCGCCCAAACTATGGAACTGGAAACGGACACTTATTTGCACGAACACCACTGAGCCGTCAGCCTCCTTGCTTCTGCATTCGGTCATTTAACCTGATGCCTGTTCATTCAGTAGTTTAAACCGTATGAACAGCATTACCCCAGATAGCCATCCTGTGGAGTCTATTCGTATGGAGAACAGACTTTGTGAACACTTTAACTCCATGGCGATTGGACTGTGTGCATAGGATATAGCGCTATTCGGTACTTTTGTGCGCACA